AGTATTAAAAAGTACTTTTTCATCTGAGTTCCACTGAGGCACATGAAACAAGCCATTTGTATTGTAACCACATGTTCTGTTCATCCTATAAAAAACTTGAATAAGCTCTATCCCAACATAGAAAATTAAAACCTCGAGTTTTCATTATATTATGACACTAACATATTAAAATAATTAAGGGAAAATAAGAAGCTACTTTCAAAATTACTATTAATATTATATTTGTATACATACAGCACATTAAAAAGGCAGTGAAGTGAAACTCAGCAGTAACGGCTCGGTAACGCTAGGTGGCGATAATAGCAGAACAGCGCGAAAGACCCTCCTCAAATAAATAGAATATAAAGTATAATTGTTATTTTTATTATTAATAATTGGTTTTTTTAAATGTAAAGTTCTGTTAGTCACTCTGGTCCACACTCCAGTATAGTAGGTGGTGGTAATGCACCTTAACGTTGGATGCCACCCGCCATAAAACATGAAGAAGAAGAAGAAGAAGAAGAAGACCCTCCTCAAAAGAACAGATGAGTGAAAGCTGAAAGTTCTTCACTCATATTCAAACACGTGTTTATCTATGTTTAGGACATTTCTATATATGTTTAGGAAACTGTAAACTCCAGATGAAATGAGTAAAATGTCCGGTCTGATCCGAGCATGTCCTTGTGAACTTTGCACTGATGAAAACCGCTGATAATGTGTTTTTAACACACCTCGTGTGATCGACAGTGCAGGATCTGTCAGACACGAACCGACCTCTTATTAGAAATAAACAATAACAATAACCAAATTAAACAGTAAGTAGCTAACATTTTTATCTACCTATCTATTTATCTATCTATGTAGACTTGCACTTACACCTGCAAACATTTTAAATGTATTTATCCATTGAAGACAGTTCCACCAAAAAGTGAAGTTGCTGTGATTATTTAACTTACTCATCTGCATGATGGTCTCGTGTTGTTCTTTAGGGATTTGGGGAACGATATATATGTCACAATTTTGGTGTCCGCATCAAATTAAGTTTACAAAAGTAATTTTATATACATAAAAAGACATGTTAAATGCAAGTTAAGAGTCTGCTTTCATATTTCAAATAACTTTGTTGAAAATAAAACGTCAAAATATGGGGGAAATAATGTTCCAAAGTGTAAAATTGTCATTCACATCTTTAAATAAACATATAAAATACCAAGTAAAAAAATACATTTGTTGTCTTGGCATTTTCAAGTGTTGGCTGTATTATATTAAAAGGAATGTCTTATTGTTTTTTCAAAGTATTTAAATAACCAGGAGACTTTTGTCCTGAAAATGCAGTTTATCAGAGGTCATTCAGTGTAACAGGAACAAGAAGCCATTCTGAAATCATATAAAAAAACCTGACAGTCATTCAACAGTGTGTGACACCATCAGATGGCACCCTGAAGACCGTGTGGTGCTGCAAGAAAAGTGAGATTATTGCTCTTAAATATTTGATAATTCCACCTTTTCATGGTGTGGTAACATAGGTTACAAAAACACGTCATTCAGTGAGATTTTTGGAAAAATAAATAGATTTTGTGAATAATTGTGGTTTATCTTTACTGGTCAAGCTCAGTGTTTGAAATGGATGGCCAGTTGATAGCCTGCAATATACGCTGAAGTAGAAGTTTCGTCATTCAGTTACACCACAGTGTCATCCATTAATGACAGTATCACTGTATAAATAACCATTTTAGCATCTTATTTATATTACAGATAAATGAGGAATGTTTAACATTGACAAATAAGTGTTAGACATTAATAAATATTAATATTTGAATGCTTTTTTGAATTGATTAATTTGTGTTATTGATTAATTTTAGACACCTATGAACAGAGGACGTTGCTAGGCACTGTAATAAGCCAAAAAGCTAATAAAGTGCGGACCCAGTAGCTTAGGTGGCACTCTTAAAGCCCCTTCACACCAAGAACAATAAAGATAACTATAACAGTATATATAGCCTCCACAGCAATGAACGATAGCAATGTTCGTTCTGAACATGCGCTGCAGGTTTATCTTCTGCTGCTTTAAATGCTCGAGCTCTTTAAAGTGGAATGGATTCTGATTGGCTGTCGGTGCTTTTAACATTCATCAACTGTAAAAAATAGATTTTAGATTTTTTTTTTTTAACTATATCTTTATCTTTATCATTATCGTACTTGGTGTGAGCATGCCTTTAGCAAGGAAAAGAGAAAGGTATTGAGGATTGCAGTTGTCAGAATAATAGCTTGCCAATATTTCTGGGCAGAGAGTCCCCCCTCACTACAGTATGTCACACGTTTAATAGAGAAAATTTGAGGGGATTCTCCACCCAAATACTCATCCTGATAATGTCATTTATGTTGGCAAACAGAAAGTGTTAATAAATATGGCTGCAAGCAGCAATTTTTGGGTCAGAGCACGTCAGAAACAAAGTGACAAGCTAAGCAAGCATGGCAGGGGAGCATCAGTAAAATGCTTATTATATTTTAAAATTTGCTTCTGCAGTCATTTACTCAAGAATATTATTAAAACTAATTTAATGACATGGACTAATACCAAAAACATTTCAGTTATGGGAACAATGGCAATATTATCTCTCTTTTTGGCAAATCGTCATTCAAACCATCATTCAGGTCATTCAGCGTAACAGATATATTTATGTAAAAATGAAACAATATACTTATTGTGACTTGTACTTATTAAAATACAAAAAAGAATATGTGATCATACTAAATTTTATTATATTTTAAATGACTTTGACTTCCATACAAAAACTTCTTGCTGACAAATAGGTAAAACCTAGTGGTTTGAAGGACATTAGCAAACTTTAAAGATTTAAAATTTAAAGTTAATTTGTATTTGAGGGCTGCACTGTGATGCTTAAATATAGTCTTTTAATTTCATCAAACGATCCATGTTTAAAATATGCCTAACAAGATATTTTGGTATATAAATATTGTTCCACTGAATGACATTTTAGTGGGTGTCTTCTGTAAATCATGGTAAAAAAAAATGCATGATAGTTGTTGTTTTGTTCAGAAAAATATAAAGTTAAACAGGACACATTCTAATGTATGGGGAAAAATATAAATTTAAAGCTGTATTACACTTTTATTTTTTTGATGCTTGAAACACCATGCTTTTCGTCTTTGACCCATATGTCTTTAAGGTTTTATGAAGGTAAACATCAGTTTTTAGTAATTTGCTGTATTTATTAGTTAATGAAATACTTTTGTAAATTTCAATTTAAAAAGTAAAATGTTGCCATTTTATTTTCACGGTAAAGATCTGGCAACCGCAGCTGTGTTTTCTTTTTACTATAAATTTGATTGATTTTATTTATTTTATTATAAATAAATTATTGATATTATTAATTAATGTATACATTTACAGTGTACTAGTAACACTTGGGAACTGAAATATTATTTAAACGTCTCTACATATACAAAACCCCATTCTCTCATTTTCCCATGATGATCCTCTGGCGAAACTCTCATGGGAAAGTATGAACTGAAAGAGTATTTTTCCTTCAGCTGAAGCAATAAACTCTTCGGTCAGAGTGTCAGAATACACTAACAAAACCTTCACATGCGCTGCTCCCAATTCTGACTGCACTATTTTCATCCCTGAGAAAGATCAGAGCAGCTCCTCACACACGTGTTGAGCGCGCTTGATCTCCCTCAGAATTATGGCGGAGAAAATTAAACGAATTACTGGATTAACAGTTTCCTGTCAGAAATGCGACATTTTCCTCTGAGCTCGCGCACATAACAGCCTCTCGGATGCGTCCTCAAGACACCAGCTCTTAAACAACCTATATTTACGACACCTCTCTCTCTCTCTCTCTCTCTCTTTCTCTATAGGCTACCTCTTTTTCTATTATCGACGCGCATCTTGAGCCGAAGAGGAAACAAAATGGTGCTAAAAGGTGAGGGAGGCGCTGGAGTGTCCACTGAGAGACTGACAATGTGTGTGTGCTCGTGATGAAAATCCGCGGGAAAAGGTGATAGTGACCTGTAAACAAAGCGCTTCACAGTCTGCTGTACTGAACAGCAAAACCACTGAATTTCTCTGTCTGTGTAAATGAACAGTCTTAAAGGAGTAGTTCAACCAAAAATTAACATTTGCTGAAAATGTACTCACTCGGCCTCAGGCCATTCGTAGATGAGTGTTTCTTCTACATATTTGGAGAAATGTAGCATTACATCACTTGCTCAGCAATGGATGCTCTGCAGTGAATGGGTGCCGTCAGAATGAGAGTCCAAACAGCTGATAAAAACATCACAATAATCCAAGTAATCCACACCTCTCCAGTCCATCAGTTAATGTCTTGTGAAGTGAAAAGCTGCAGGTTTAAATTGTCGCTTCTAGACAAAATGCAAGTTTATCCATAATATTTTTTTAAACCGTGGTTGCCAACCCGCCGATCGTGCTCTGCGCTCCGAAGTCCCGATCTGAATCAAATGATTCATGAACCCGCTCCGAAATTCCGATCTGAATCGAATGATTCATGAACCCGCTCCGAAGTTCCGATCTGAATCGAATGATTCATGAACCCGCTCATTAAATGTAATAATTTGTTGAACATTAAACATTGTCAATATGCTTCACGTCAAGTCAAAACAAAAACAACAACAGGTATTTCTATTTCTAAAAAAGGTAAAATAAACATGTTTCTAAAAATATAATTATTGATAATAAAAATAAATTCTAAAAATTACTATTAATGTAACAATCTGTCGACAATTAAACATTGACAATATGCGTCATGTCAAGCCAAAAACACAGGTATTTCTACTTCAAAAAAATGAAAATAAAAAATATATTAAAAAAATCGTTGAAAAATATAATTATTAGTAATACAGTGTTAATAAATTGAACATTTTTTGAACATTAAAAATGACCAATAATATGCTTAATTTTGCATCATTTTATATCATATTAAACCTTTTTCCTGTCTGGTTTATAGACATCTTTAAGAAAATGCAAATCATGCGCAACCAAAACAAGACTTTAATTGGATGGTGCATTATTAAATTGCATCATGAAAACTCATTTATATTAAAATTTCTACTTGAAATGTACATCACTCAACAATCTGCTTAGTCTCTATTTTCCTACTTTAGAAAAAATGTAATTACATGTGGGTACAGAGTTTAATCTGAATGGGATCCCATCTGTGTTTCCGATGAGTTCATCCTCGACCGTTCTGCTTTGCTGTAATAGACTTTGCTCTTTTAACCTCTAGACGACAGGCTCAGTAACTCACAAGCTGTGTGGCTGCAGCTCCTGTCAATCAGCGCGAGGGGCGGGACTTTACTGCACAAATAAAATAACGGCACAAGAGCGGAAACGCATACCTGCGACCGAACAGCAGCGATTTGTTAAAAGCAGGACCTTCCCAACACACCGAGCTAATGGCCTGCTGAATGTCTGCTGATAAAAATAGACCGTGGCAGATGGAGAGAACGAGAGAGAGACTTTAGGAGGTGTAGGTTGGGAAAATAAACTCATCTCTTACATAAACGGGTCATTCCTATGCAGTACATTTTCATGTTCCCATCAGATGTGTCATATTGGATAATAAAACTCACGGTTTATATCCCATTAACTAACTGAAGCCAGTTCCTTGATGACATCATCCTCCAGGAAGTGACATCATTTTGGAGGGAAAACAGCTGCACAAACATCATCAATAGCTGGTGTGTGCCTTCCTAAACAAATCAGTTTGCTGAAATTGATGACTGGAAAAAAAAAAGGTTAAAATATAAAAAACCTGAAGTTGACTTTTATGAACATCCATTGTCACTGTGGAAATAATGATGTTATAAGTAATAAAGTTGAAGTATCTTCAAACAGTCATTTTGTTTAAGATGCAGAGTTAAAAAAAAAATTACCCCAATATACATATAAAAATGCAATTTATTCACTGCTGTTTTGTCTTAGAGGTGCTTCCTTTTTGCTTTGAAATCTCTCCCAGTAGGCGGGGTCTTCCTCTAGAAGGGGCGTGGCTTTAGACATAAGATCACTGAAACACAACAGTGTGAACGAAAGGGGTGGAGCTTCACAAACAGTCCCACCGTCCTCCTATAATACAAAGTAGTATGATGTCATGAACTGTCTTGTCCTCTAAAATCGCGTGAAAATCGTTAAACTCACTTCAGATGTGCTGATATCTGGTTTCCCCAGCGCCACAGCGACGTGATGATCTTTGTCCAATAAGCTCTCCTGAAAAACAGAAAAAAAAGTCAATTATGAGTTGTTTTCATATTTAATTATAATAATACTATTATAAGAATTCTATCTATCTATCTATCTATCTATATATATATATATATAATTCTACAAAATAGTCATCAAGCCAAAAACGGGTATTTCTACTTATAAGAAATGGTAGATATATTTTTCTTTAAAAAAAAATTATATATATATATAAATACTAAATAATAAGCTGAACATTTATTGAACAATAACCATTTTATAGGGCTATCATATGACGTCTGGGTGATATATTAAAATATATATTTTA